CAAGTGCTTTTTCGTAAAATGAAAGTGCTTTTGGGTACTCTCCCAGGTGACTGTAGGCCAAACCAATGTTGTTGTAGGAAGTAGCCAAGTGAGGATCATTTGCAGGAAGTTTTTTTCCCCAAATTCCAAGTGCTTTTCTGTGATATTCAATGGCCTGTTCATAATCACCTTGATTATCTTTGACAATTCCAAGGTCGTTATAATAAAATGCTTTGTAAGTCTCATTTGATGGTTGTTCAAGTAGTACTTTATATAGCTCTTCGGCTTTATCGAAATGACCTGTTTTGAGTAACAACTTACCCAGTCGTTCCCATCCTGTCATACCTCCAGTCTCTTCACTTATACATCTTGCCAGTTGTCGAAGCTGTTCATCATCATCAGCAGTTAGTTGAAGTTCAACTTCGTAAAGTTCACCATTATTATCCATTTGTTTAATTGCACCAATTCGAAACACGGTGTGCATGGAAAAGAGAATTTCTTCTTCTGCCTTGTAATAACTAACCTCTTTAATAGAGGCGAAGGGTGTTGATGAGACACGAATATCAATAGTCATTAAAAAAAGTATTCCCACCATATCTGTATTTCCTAAGGCACCCTTGGCGAATCGGAGGGAAACATCTTTTTTTGTACTGGTTGATAAAAAGTTATTAAACGACATGAGACCACCTTTGGTTTTCTCGAGTTTGTCGAAATCTGTTTTCGACAAACCTTGTCCTCGGTAAACTACAAAAGGCTTACCACCATAACTTGGAACCTGTTGTTCATATAGCTGATGAAGTTGTTGATGAAGATCATGTATAAAAAAACCCATATTAACGACGATATCAGCATTCAGTGTTCGAAGCGCTCGATTGAGCATTTTATAGGTAAAACACTCACGTGTGTACCACCAAATTGCCTGTTTCGGATCATAATCATGTTGAAATTCATCAATAATGCTTAATTCATTAATATTGTTCGAATAAAGATTACAGCAATAAACTGCTAAGATCTTGATAGCTTGCTCTTGATCATGTTCCATTTTAAGGATAATATCTTTGAATATTTGTGTGTACATATAATTTGGTTCCAGTTGGTTCAGATTGTCACTGGACACCATTTCATCCGTCGTGACAAAGCTAATAGAAATTGAATCCTGATTAACTTGTTTGACACCTTCTTTTAAGGCGTCACAGATGTCCTTAATATTGTTCTGGACACCCTTGATCTTGTTCCAGTCCTTGGCCCATTGTTGGTGATGTGATATGTTACCACAAAAGATGTAAATTGCATCTAATGTCGGCATGCCATGAATTTTAGGAACTAAATGTTGACCAAGTGATCCCGATGTAATGACGAAAGCTTTTTCGTCCTTGAATTTGTCGAGAAACTCGATACATTCGTTGGGTTCAGTACACATAGTGACATCGGTGACCACAGCTCGAAGCTGTGTCAACGTATTCTGACAATCCTTGTTGGTTTGATCGATGCCTGCATCAACCCAAACCAACAGATAATTTTAAGCCATGCATCGAGGTGCTGATGGCGTTGTTGTTATAACAGTTGTATTAGATGCATCTGTACTGGAGACCGAACCAAAGTCTTGTTTCGATTTTTGAGCGCCCATATTGATGTGAGTTGTGATTGAGTGTGGTGATTAAAGTAACAGCAAAGATTATACTATCGGTTTATATAGACAACGATTTGTTTTTTCTCGATTTTTCTGCCACACAATGTTTTGTATTATTTTGTTGACATAAAAATGGAATCATACAACGTAGTTATTATTAAGAACACACTATGGTGAGAAATAACAGAGCAAGAGAGAGAAAGAGTTTAATCAAATCCGCACAAACAAAACACAAAAAAGCCAACTAGGTATTTAATTGATTGTTTTTCTTTCCAACTTTCTCTTATTTACGTCTGCACAATTATTTCAGTACGCCACTGCGTAGATGATACTTTTTCGATGAATTTTTTTTTCTTTCTTTCTGCCTCTGTTATTCATCAGTGAGGTTCACAAGAATTGTATATTAATCATTCTACAGATACTGGATCAATCAAGCAGAAGAAAAATCAGATTGAAGAATATTTTTAAATTGTAAACTAGTGTTAACAATAACCGTATATTTTACAAATTTTGATATTAGTCAATGAAAAGTGAAAAGAATCACACATATATCAGTATAATCGTGCTTACGATAAATATAATTTGATAAAAAAGAACATTATCAATAATATTTCATTTAAATTGTGTATTCTATAGGAATGTCTTGAATAAAGTCTATTGAAAACAATTCTGTACACTATAAACAACTTTGTGCACATTGTAGAATTAGTGGATACATCATATCTCATATCAAGAATAGATTGTATACGTGTTTTGTTTTGTTTATATTCATAAACTCTGCAGTTTTAACCATCGGTAGGAATGTGTCGAAGACACAAATTATCGCTTCTGCTTTCACTGTATAAATAAAAAGGTATTATCGAGAGTATCCATGTGACTTCTCTAAATTTAAAATTATTCTGCTAAAAGAAAGTTTGTTGACGACACAGCTATTATTTAATGGCAAATGATTATATTCTTTTTTAGATGCTTTTAAAAATATAAATACAAAGTGCGAGAGAGATCAACAAAAAAAGTACATTGACAACGAACAAAACAAACTTTCTTACATGATTGTTGTAACTGCCATCTTTATTTTTTTCGTTCCTGTGTGTGCACTGTCAGTGAAAGTGAAGTATGTGTAAAGAAATGAATTGCATAGAGAAATAAAACAAATTTTTTTCGTTTTATCTTGCTGTATCCTTTCAAAAGCTTCTTTTGACACGTTATTCCCTGTCCTGTCATGCAATTATCGAGTAGATATGATTGCAATATAGATATACAACTATTCTGATGATGAACAATTAACAAAAACTGTTTAAGATATCTGAGATAATTCTTATCGGTTTAATTGATGAAGCAGAATGCTAATGTTATTCAACATCATAAATTTTTTTAAACATGTTGCCAATTATAAATTTATATTCTTAATAATAATATAAATATTTCTTTGAAATTTATCTTTTCGAGTTTTCTTGGTATCTCGTATTTCATTATTCATAGAAGTTATAAACCCTTCACCACAGAATAAATCAACAGAGGGTTTGAGTGTGGGTGGATGTGTATGATTTATGAACCGAATACTGCAGCCACACCCACACCCTCAAGTTTATTTCATGGGAACTAACTTGATTCAAAATTCGCATGAAATTTCTGCATGTCGAAAACCTTCAATCATATAGTGATTGTTTTTATTTTATATGAAATAGATGATCATGGGATAAGAATAAATTGACGAAAAATCTGATGAATTGATCTGAGTCATTGCGAATCTTTTGAGATAATGAAAACATGTAGACATTTTGCTAGTAAGTTGTTATTACTCTCTACAGAGCGTTTTTTCTTGTTAGAGTGGTTGTGAGATAATATCAATATGTATATCCATCTAACCATCTCATCCACACATTTAAATGAAACGAAAGTACACCTACTCAATACTACTTACTGTTTGATTGTTTGCTATGATTTTATTGAGAATATTCGACTCTTTCTTAAAAGATCAACAGTATCTTCAATTAAAAAATACAAACAACATGTGCTGTCGCTCTTTTATTTGGAAAAGATCTGTTAATGATTCCATAGAATGTTTTACTATGTTTTTCAAACTTTGAACATATTTGGAGACTTTTTGATAACGGCAAAACCGTATTTGGGGCTCAGCAGAGCACCACTTTCTTTAAGAATGGACTTCAGTATCGATATTAGACAACTGGAAAAGTTCCTCTGCATCTTTTGCATATTCAAAAAGTTGTTTCGTTGTTATTGATTTTTCCTTTATTATTTCATACTGAAGTGTAAGTTTGGCTTTCTTGTAAGAAGGTGTCTTAATTTCGAGGACTCGCTTATATTGGTATCCATTTTGGAACACAATTTTAGAATTTTATAAAAAGTTTCGTATCGATTAGTTAATTCCTTGAGTATACGATTCTAGTTTCTTGAAGGCGAGCTCATCTTGAAAAGAAGCTAAAAATGCTTCTTTCAATTCTTGCACGAAGATTGACCATAATGTTAATGTAGCTTTGATATTTTTATACCAACGACGAGCTTCTCCACGTATAGAATACGAAATTAAATTTGAGCTGTGTCAATAAGATGTTCGATATCTTCTAGCCATTATTTGAAGTCTTCTTTTCCACCTTGGAATATTTTTGGATTTTTAATTAAATTGTCTAC